ACCAGCAGCTCAGAGCAGTGTCTGGCTGAGTTTCAAAGCGAGTAGATCCTACGTTACATACTTCCAGGCACTTTGTCTTGTTGCTGTGTTGCTTATTCCTAACACCACAGTGGGTCTGGTTACTGATCCCTGCAAGAGGTTGTCTATCAAAACTTCAGATTTCTACAGCTTATAGCCATTACAGCAACACTTATTACTGCAATTAATAATACCCTGGTACCAGTAAAAAACTGGCTTATGGATGTGGAAGTCAGATGATGAAGCAAGTCTGGTCCTGTGTGCTTCAAGTTGTCTGTAAAATTTCTGTTAAATCAGGTTACAAGAGGATCAGACCTGTAGCAAGAAGTAGCATACTGGAGAGGTTGTAAATTTCAGGAAGGCAGGACACAACATTATATATAGTTTTCCAGGCTTTAGCTGTTTTTGTATTGGATTTGTTGCATCATTTTAATTTTTTCTCTCTAGTAGGAATTTTCTGTTTAAAGGAAGTTGCTCTTCTCTGTTCCTGACAATTTCAAATATCTATGGCCAGGAGTCAGAGCAGACTGTGCACTTCAACACTGAAAGATGATGACCCATCACACAGCCATCATAAATTGTACCGTTTTTCTAGAGCACTTGGTGCTTTTCAAGTCAGTGTCTTCTTATATCAGCTGATCAGCATAATCAGCCTTGTTTTCACTTTTGCTGCATGGCTATTAGCACGTGGACTGTTGTGGGATTTCTTTCTGAGTGGATGCCATGAGGTATCCTGGTTAGGCACCATGCCCTCCCTGACTCCTGGACATTTCTTGGGCACCTCACTCTGCTACTGTCTGTGAATTCTTCAGGCAGGAGCTCTGGTTCCCTATTGGGTCAATATGTTGTCAGTTCCCATCAGGGCTTAATTTAATTTAGTCCTCACAATGTTACTGTACTACAAGAGAGAAAATGGTGTGTATAGTATCATCCACCTCCACAAATCATCTCCTCTAATCAAAGACTCCACTACCAGTGACTTCTGAAAACTGGAAATTCTTGCAAACACAATAGAAATCTGCTTTCCATTCTTCCCTTACATTTTAAACACAAAGAGAATATCAAGAAAAGAAAGGAAAAACAAATTATTTATTTTCATGAGACACATTCAATAGGTGTTTGGCACAATAAATTTAGTCACTCTGACAAAATAATTATTTTCCCATGGGCCTGACGAGAATGATTCATTTTCAAAATGACTAAAGGTTGAGCAGGGAGATAAAGAACCTGTTTACCCCTTAAGCCCAGTAAAAAGTGATCAGAGAGACTACAATATCACTTTCATTTTTTATCACAATCCTCCAACTTCCATCCCAGTTTAAATCCTGCAGCTTTTCCAAAAGGATGTTGTCAGAAACATGTCACTGCCAATCAAGCTTTAACATTTGGACTTTATGAATAACTGATATAATAGAATGATGGATATATTCAGTATAGTCAAAATATAGACAAATTCCCAGTAGAAGATGTGTTGGAGGGATGTGTAATGGTATTTCTGTACTTTGCTTGTTCTCTTTCCTCCTGTAGTGTGCAGTTGCCACCTATTAAGTAATTACTGCCATTTGACAAATACATCCATTCTATAGCAGAATTGCATTGAATTGCTTTCCAGTTTGTCAAATCCTTTTGTCTTACTCTTCCTCTCCTAGATCACATTTGTGGCTAGTAAATTGGTTTCTTAAATTCAGTCTCTCATACTTTGGTCTTGAGTTAGCTTTCTTCTCTGCAGGGTACTGCTGTATACTGTATCTTCAAGTACCCAAATCAATTTAATTAAATGAATTACAGGCAGTAGACCTGAAACAAACTAATGAAAGCAGCCATCGTGTCAGGTGGTATTTATCTAGGCATTAAATTGAAAAAATCCCCTTTAGGTTCTTAAAAATTAGTTTCAATATTTAATACTAATAGCTTTTGGAATTGTTGATGGGGGATAGTTTTAATAAATTTGTTACAAACTGTTTACCTTTACAAGGAAAGAAGCTTGATCCTTACAGCAGAAGGGAGCTGAAGATAAATAACTTAAAAGTATTAGGGTTTTGAAATACTGAGGTCTGTGAGCTGCCCACAGTCTGTTAAAAATTACCATTAAAGTTTTCATACAGTGATAGGAGTATGCCTTGTGTAGTCAAAAGCAATGCCAAGTCTGTACAAAACTTGCCTTAGCGTTTATTGTTTGCCTCACTGGTCTTATTGAGCTGATTTGGCTTGCCATTTTGAGAGTTTGTAGCAGAATTTATTTGAAGACCTCATTATAAGCACTACTGTCACCCGAGAGAAGAATGAAGATTTGCAGGGAAGAGAAGAAGGGAAAACATCCGCTGCAGAAAAGACTGCTAGTGGCAGCATCCTGAACAGCTCTCCTTGCTGCTCAGGCACCTTGCAGTGCTATGTCTGAGGAAGCAATGTTAACAAAGCACCTGTTGATATCCTGCACAGCAAAACTGGTGCCATGTGCTATTCCTGCAAAGTCCATGGGACAGTGCAGGTGTCCGGGATTTATTTCTTCCGCTTCCCATCAGAACCGGGCTGCAGGTATTAATGTATACAATACTGATAGAATAGGCGACAGGAAGAAAGGCTTGGGGGAAGACTCTCATCACTTTTTTCTGAGCAATAAGCCAGGGTTTTACTTGAGCAAAGCAAGAGTGCAGAAGGAGAGTATACTTGTCCATGAATATATCCAGATCCACAAAACTGGAATAATTTCTACCTTGCTTTATGTAAGCATGGTTGATGTCTCTTATTGTGCTGGCAGAGAGTAATAAATAGTACATCCCTTTTCCTTTTGTCAGATTTAAAGTCTGTCATCTCCATAGCTTCCCCTTCTTCAGTCTGTTTTAAAAAAAAAATTATTTTAACAGAAATAAATTCTGCTGTAGAAAACTACAACAGAATGAGATATAGTCACCTTTCTTGTAAGAAATTCTGACCCCAGAAAAGGAGAAAGAAGGAATCCATTTTTCTTCATCAGGATAAGGGCATAAGCTTCTCACATGTTTGCTCCTTCAGTTTTATAATAGAGAAATCAATGCACAAGTTGTTGTTAACCAGAGTCAAAAAATTAAGGCTATATGTGTTACTTGTAGTCTTGATGCTTAGATAAGATTATTTGATTTAAGCTATTCATTATAACTCTAACTATAAACTATTATGTTTTCTTTAAAATGCATGTATTTTATACATATCACTACATATCATATATAGTAATTTCCAATTTGATTTAAGAAGTTAGGGCTTCACAGATGTTTTTCTTCCATTATCATGAACCCTTCCTCTAGCTTGAAGGATGTGGTTTGTGTAGAAGTTTGTTTTTGGAGATCGGATATAGATTGGAAATGTTGTATATAGAAAATTTTGGTTTAAGGAAGTGGTATTAAAGATCAAGTATTTATTTTTTCAAGTTACTCTTACTATTTTTATTAATTAACTAGATTTCTCCCTTGTATTTTCTTATATGACTGTGATTAAATATGAGGTGCAGTTCAGTGAAGTGTCCTAAACATGAGTGATAGAGGATAGTCACTACTGACTCCAGGGAAAGTCCTGACTACTGTAAAAGCCATATCCCAGATTTCACTCTTCCTTATTTTCGTCTTTGAAATTGCAACTGAGATACACCCCTATTTTTACAAATGCATTACACGAGGACTACAGACATTTAGCACCTCTGTCTGTCCTAATTTGTTTATAGAATTTCCCTCTACAAGAAGTATGAGTATCTTCTTTCCTTCTGCTCTGTCACAGTGTTGCTGAGTTCTCTTCTAAGAGGTTCATGGAAAGGGGATTTTCAAGTCATCTTGTCTTCTGAGAGCCAGGTGCCCATGGTTTCTGTGGATAGAACGAAGTCAGACAGATACCTTGAGCAAAGGAGAGCATGGGAGGGGATGGGATTCATTGCTGCATGTGTGGAGTAGCTGAGTTGGAGTAGCTGAGTTAGAGGGTGGGAATATTTTTTACTACCCCAACCATGAATTATTCTTCTATAAGGAAGAGGAAAATTCCAACTGGTTTTCAGTAATCTTTTATTGTGTTTATTTTTATTCAGCATTTCCTTGCAAAACTTCTGTTTAGCACCATGCCTGGTGCTTGATTCTATTTCCACTGAGCTCAGCAGAAAGTGGGCATTTTTAAAACTGTGAGACTGGGAAGTCTCGGTGTTATTGATTTAGATTTAACATTGAGCACTGATAAAGACAGCTGAAATCAATCAATACTGAAGGAATTTGAAATACTGTAAATAAAAACACTATCAGAAGTCAGTTTATGCTCTCATGATAGTTTCAGACTATATGTAATAAGTTTTTAAAAATGCCAAGTGTATTATTTTGGATTATTGCATTACGTTATGGTGCTGGAATAAAACATGAATTATTTAAACTCCTTTTTTAACTAACTGCTTCTAGTATTTGTGTTACTTTGTTGCATTTTTTAATATGTCACCATTAACATAGTTTTAAATAGAGGGAATAAAATTTCATTCTGTATGCCTTGAAGAAAACTGGAACAAGGGAAATGCATTGATTCTTTTTGTCTTGTGTGTGAACAAAAGGGTAGTTAGTATAACTAAGCTAAATAGATGTGCAGTCTGGTAATCCTGGAACTTCCCAATCTACTTCTTCCAAATCCTCCCTATAAAATGGAAAATATTTCAAGCCAGAATGCTGTTTGCAATGTGAAAATAGAGGTGTGGAAAAAAAGGCAGAACTATTAAACAAATAGCCTAAAACAGTGTTAATAATTTGAGTCTTTCTGAGATGTGTTATTTTATACAACTTTCTACATTTATTTTTTTAATCTTGCTGTGTCAGTACAGTCAGCACATCTTGTCCTGCGGCACTACTATATTTACCACCCAGTGGTGGGAAGAAGACAGCAGCCTACTCGTGTATCTGTAGTGAAACCAGAGAAAAATACTCTGCTTAAAGTGGGGAGCTGTGTGGCATTCTCACTGACCGTTATCATGATTCTTGGTGTTGCAGGATGGATGGTCACAGTATCACTTTGTAGCCTCATCTTCAACAATAGAAAGGGATCGGCAAAGACCATACTCCTCATCCCGCACGCCCTCCATCTCTCCTGTGCGCATGTCTCCAAACAACCGCTCAGGTAAGGCCAGCCAAAGGAAAGGCAGAGGTAATCAATCCATCACCGTCATTTTCCCTAACATCTGGATTTGTTGTTAACTTTGGTGGAAGGGCACAAAGTGTATTCTTTACTGTGGCCAAATTACCTGTTCAAAACAGGATTTTATTTTTTTTCATTAGCACCTGGTAAAGTTTTACAGAAGAAAGATTATTCCATAATCTTTTGTCATAAATTTTCCCAAAGTGTTTTCTTGATGGGAATTACCTGACTAGATCTCAGGGCAATGATATCCAGTGATAGCACCAGGAAATTCTGTTGCACACTTTGCTAGTCATGAAAACCATTATGTGGTTTATGACCATTTTGCACATTCAGTAGAAGTTTAAAGCCCACATTACCTTTTTGTCAGCTTTTATTCTATGAATTTTATTATATGAATACATATGCATATAAGTTTCACAGATTTGTCAACACATCTTCCAGTAACATTGATAGCATATTTACAACAGCTATTATCAATTCTGTATGATCTGCACAATGAACTAATGTAAGTAACAATTAACATATGACGTATGTCATACAACTAACTAATGACGTAGTGCAAATTAATTGTTCTATCTAGAAATCAGGTAATCTTTCCATCATTTTATTCCAAGGTAGAACACACCTTCATTAGATAAAGCCATTCCCAAGGAAAAATTTTCAAGATAAACAGAATGTGCTGTCAGTCTTTCAGTGGTCTTTCTGCTGCTTGTTCAAATGCTCTCATTCCATAGGTACACCAAGAGTTTAGGATCAAAATTGCCATACTTATGATTACCATTATGCCATAATTTCTTAAGAAAATCGTTTTGTTAATTATCTAAAAGCTGCATCTTAGTCTTACAGAACCACAACTGAGGAGATGTGAAAATGTAACCAGAAGTGCAGTGAGAGCTGATATTCTGTTTTTAAAATCTGCCGTTACACAAGTCCATAAAGGGCTCTTGTTCCTTTTTTTTTCTTCTCTAAAATCTCATCTTGTCTGTAATTGCAAGGTACTTGAAATGTCTGGCCCTGAAATCTTAGTTCTCTTTCTTCCCAGAACCATCTTCTCACTTCTCTTACTCTAAATCTCAGGTGAAATTTTACTGCCCTCATCAGTTATCATAAGACTGGAAAAACACAAATAATAGTAGCTGTAGAGCCCATGTCATTATATACCAGTCAGCTCAATGTCAGTGTAGAAAATTGCTGAAAAAATAATCGGAACCTGAGCAGCTCAAAGGTAGTAGGAACATAAGATGTTACTTAACTCTGAGAGTATCTATTTCTATGTAACAATGTAAGTTGCTGTGTGTCTGGTAGTATCCATATCAAATGTAAACATTGATTCAATACAAATTGTCTTATTAAATCCATCTCAATTCCTGTTACAACATAATCAAAGCACGTTGCAGAAATAAAAGTCAGTAAGTACTATGATCAGTAAGACTCTTTCACACAACATTTTTATGGACAAGCTTAAGGAATGCTAGCCAACAGCTCAGAAAACATCCTGTGTTGTATAAATAAAAAACTTACTGAAAGCCATTCACAAGGGAAGGGTATTGTTTATTGCCAAAGTGGCAGAATGCTGTGCTTAGAGCCTAGCCTGGGTCCAGTACTATTCAGTGGTTTCAGTAATGACCCAGGTAATACGCAAAAATTACCTATTACCTTTGTGGGTGACATAAACCTGGGAGAAACTAATGTTCTTTTAAGGGCATTACTGAAACTCAAAGTGATCCTGAAAAATTTGAGGTAATATTCAAAGGGAAAAAAATAACCTATCCTTTAAAAATAATTTATGAGGAGAATGTCTGACTAGATAAATGTTCTTTAGAAATTATCTGTGAATTTTTGTCAGTTGCACACATGAATTGGAAGGTGGAAAAATCAAGATATGAGAATATGCTGAATGGACTGTAATTGTTTAACTCAAGTAAAAGAGACATGAAAAGGGGTACACACCAAGTCTTCAAGCATGTAACAGCCAGCTGTGAAGAGAAATGGAGTGAGCTTTTTCTGTTTTCATAGCAGACAAATGGAAATAATGAGCAGTGAGGAGTCAGACTAGACATCAGGGAACATTTCCTAGCAGTGGGGAAAGAAAGCACTGGAACGAACTGCTTGGAGCAGTTACGTGATCTCTGTCATTAGAGATCTTTAGTTCCAGATTAAAATCTGTCAAGAACTATGTTGGTATACTGGATCCTACCGTGGGGTAAAGAGTTGAAGTAAATGAACTCACACCATCCCATCCATCCCTAGGACTGGGTGATAACAGGCTCAAACTACAGAGAGCTCTGTATTCTTCTTTTCTGTGTCCTTTAAGAAATGGAGCAGAGAAACATTATATCAATTTTCAGTCTACCAAAGTCTCCCCCTTTGCTTCCAATAAAAACTCTGAAAGAGGGTGCTTCTGCATTTTAACTCGCTTGCCAGAATGTAGATTTCCTCTCTTGGGAAGAGCAAGGGAATTCCCACGGGGAACAGAGAGAGATGATTTTATGTATATCGGTCAATTTTGTTCAAAACACCAGAGTGCTTATAACCATTACCAGAGTATGTGAAACAAAATGTGTCTTTCTGCTAGCATCTTTTTCAAGGTTTGCATTCTGGCCTGCTCCCCATTAGACTCAAGCTGCCATTAGCTGATCTGGTAGCTTAGCTGTCATGTTTCTTTATAGCTGTAGGATTATCAGCTTTAGATTTACATCACTATTGACAAACAGTTTAAAAGCAATCCCCAGTTCTAATGGCTTCATAAGAAAGAACATCTGTTCCACATTTGCTCTGTAAATTCAGAGGCCAGGGCCAGCAAAACCAAGCAAAGCAGAATTCATCATCACTTGTGCTTCCTTCCTCCATAGTTGAGTGCAAGTACTACACTATTTCTTAAGTAAAAAACGTAACGTAGTTTAGAGATGCTGGAAGATATGTCTCAAGGCCAAGCTTCACAAAGAGTTTGTATTACATTTTTAAATTCCTTTCTTTTCCTTGTTTTTGAACAAAGACATTGTTAATGCTTTTGAGCTTCTTTTTATATATCAGTTACCTGGGTGGAGGCAGGGAAGTGTGTGGGGGAAAACACTGGCACTTTAGTAGTTTTTGTACCACTTTAGTAGTTTTGTGCCCTTTGGAGGCTCTTGGGGGGCTCTGCCACTCACCCTTTGCTCCTTCTCCTGCCCTCCACAGCAGGGAAAGTGCACTTTATCTACCAATATCTAAATATATTGAAGTCAGTTTACTTAAAAGCTATTATTTTTTTTTCCTTTGCTTTTCTCCTTTTCCTAAGCATTGCAAGCTCTAAGGCTTCATGATCAGTGCCAGTGATCATATTCTCCAGTGTGTGAGACTCGAGTATAAAACACAGTTCTCTATTTTGTTACCTGTACTTTCCTCCTTTTAGCTGTACCATGAGTATAGGTGAAGATTTATTTTTCATATAGATGAAATATAGATGAAGGATTTATTTTTAATAAAAATAGCTTAAGGTAGCAATTTTTTGCTTTAATGGCAGTTATTTGTGCAAACAGATATTTAAAGACAGAGAAATTATTTGAGTTACCTTTAATTGTTAGACATTCTTCAGTGTATGTTTTTTAGGGGAAAAAAGGCTTTCTTTTCATCTGTTTTCCATTAGAGTAATTTAATTGGTTAGTTTATTTTCAAGAGAAAAGGGTTTTTATAAGGTTTTTTTCCACACAGTTGAAAGTTAACAGTCTTTTCAATGGAAATAAAGTAACCATTTTGAGGAAGAAATGAAGTAGTTTCTTACCAGAAAGTTTTGTCAAGTTAAAGAAACTGAAAACCAAAAGGAGAAAACAAAATTGTACCTTTTTTTTTTTTTAGCAATCATCTTATGTGTTAGATATAAGTAAAAAGAAATTTGACATTTAGAAATAAAATTATGTTTGCAGTTGACTGTCCAATAAATACATTTGCCTTGCTCTTGAAATAACAGCATCTCTTCCTCCATGATATGGTAGTGTTTCTTCAATCAGCTTAATGTTAGAAAACTAACAGATAAGGACTTTACTGAAATGCTTACTCAAGAGTTAGACCCTACATTCAGTCATATATGATAAAAAAATAATAATCCATTTTTGTTATCTAGCAAGTGCCCCAGCCTCACCTCGGGAAATGATCAGCCTAAAAGAAAGAAAAACAGACTATGAGTCAACTGGAACTAACGCTACTTACCATGGAAGTAAGGGAGAACACACTTCTAGGAAAGACACCATGACAGGTGAGATTTTGTTTGCATAACATATATAAAAATCAGCTGTGATAGAACACTGATTTTATAGGATTGGCTGGGCTTGCTGCACTGCAGAAAAAAGTCAACCTGCTTTGATTAATTCCCAAGTTTTAGCCACCTTGAGAAATACAACTGAAGATAAATTTGAATGAATACAACCCTATGTGAAAATGATTTGTGAACACCATGGCTCTTCACAGAAGAAAGGCTCTGAATCAAATTTTGTATGTCTTTTTCAATGTTGCAGGTTTTTTTCATTTCAGGAGGAAGTTGGTTGATCACTTTGAATTAAGTGGTATATTTGAGCATGTGCAGTGATCCCTAACATCTGTCTTTTGCAGGGAATGCTCTCCAGGATCAGTTAACTTATTTTGTATGTCAGTATTCACAGGAAATTTTTGGCTCTTTGTAAAGTCTATCCATATTGCTTTCTCAGCTGGGCTGATTTAAATGCAGTGATTTTCTCTGTATGTTGTGGCATCTGTTGCAGGTTTCTTTGAAGGCCTCTCTTCTCCAGTGAGCTCATTAATCTCTTAGCCTTTCAGTAATTAGGAAATTTGGAGTTCTTTTCCCAGTGCTGTATCTCTTCATGAATTCTCTTGCAAAATAAATGTTGGTCTCCATCACCATTGTACAGGCTTATATTATAACCATTACTGAACTTTTTGTCACATTTATATAGTGCCAAGCATCACAGTCTCCTCCAAATGCTGCCTCAGGGGAGGCAAAAAAATCACAGTAAGAAGTCTGAATGCCTGTTACCTTCTCTCATGTTCTCTGCAGAGGTCTTGGTCAGAGGCAGAATGGATTGCTTGCCAAGAACGTGGTGACTCAGCATCAATCCATCCATAAGATCCATCCTTCAAGATGGATCTTACTTCTTTCATATCCTATATTGTGGATATGAAGATACGCTGTTATCTACTATGTTATATATGATTATGCAATCAAAACCTAAAGACCAGCCTTGGAACTTGTGTGTAAATGCAATATAGAATGTTAATTAGCCTGAAGGTGAAAATCTGAAGAGAAGAATGACAGTCAAGAGTATTTGGAAACCACAGAAATTAGGAGTGTCCGGATTGACTTCTGTGGGGTACTGCTGGAGAGTGCAGAAGATTCAGTCAAGGTACTGCATTTTGTGTGTCTGTAATGTTTTGAGTGTTTCATAGTCACTGCATGAGGTGGTTTTCTATAACAATTCAGTGGCCCTTACTTGGCTGATTGTGAAGGACAGGACTGAAGTTTTTTCAGCCATTTGTCAAGGACCCATAAGGGGTGAATCTCAGGAGTAAGAGCATCAGGCTGAAAAGGAAAAAGCAGTATCATTTTGACTTTGATTTTTACATTGTGTTTTCCTCTAATATTGTCTTGTATTTTGTCTATTACTATTGATTATTTGGGTGGGCTTTTAGTAAGGAAACTTGAAACTCTTAGTATCATGCTATCAGCTATCAACTGTCTTTCCAGCTCCTGAGCTCAGTGAGGGAAAACAAATCAAAAACTTAGATGAAAAAGTGTAATATTTCATAATATTGCATGAGCAATGCACAAATAAATATGGAATTAACAAATAACTTTCTCTCTTTCAGATCACCAAATCTCTGCACATTTGGTCTGAGCTCAAATTAAGCACCATTATAAGAACAAAAGAAAATGATAGAAGGAGTTGTGCTTGTCAATGTTCAACATGGAATTTGTGTAACTTATTTGTAGCTTATTAAATAATAAATATTTTTTTAAAAAAATACAAAATAAGTATTTGTGATTTTGTGAGGCATTTTGACTTAACTTGAGTGGCCCAATACAAGTTCATGTAGCAAGTTTCTTGTGATGCCTGCATTTTGTTTTGTGCATCAGACAGTGCATTGCAGCTGATACATCCACGTGGATGGGACTTACATGAATGTTTTCTCAGGTTCCACATGGCGTACACATATTTTGATCTGCTCTTCTACTTTTGTGCCAAGCTGATGTATTACACAAAGCTTTCTTTGACTTATGGATTTTACACAAAGCATAGGGCCACAGCTGTAGTCCCAATTTATCCATGACTGTCTCCATGCTCTTCTCCAATGCTCTTCTCAGTTTATAGTTGAAAAATTTTATGACCTTTGGGCTGGGAATGAAATTAAAGTTTTTTGGTGGATTTTCAAAGTAGGAATGTTGGCTTCCTGCCATCCTGAGGATCTTTCAGGAAACCTCTGGGGAATATGGAGACTCTATGAAGTAAATAGTTTGGCTGAAGATGATAACTTACATTGATTTCATGAGGATAGTTAAAAAAATAGAGGCACTGTACCAAAGTTCTCATTGCCTTCTTCACAGGTTTATGATGCCTTTTATATTTACTGCCCATTTTCTCTTCTCTGTAGAAAATAATAACCAATAATAAAATTTTGTCACCTTTTGGGTTTTTTTAAGTGTATTTTTAAGACAAAAACTATTACATTCAGTTTAGGAAAACGGGAACTGTAAGTGCATGTGATGTTATTTATGCCATGGTGCTTTCCTTCAGAACAGGGCAGATAAGGTTCCTATGTACCATCATGGGACTCCTTCTTTAAGGTTTCTTTTACTTTTTTAGTTCCCTCACTGAACTAATATGTAAATCATAGTCTACAGAAAGTGTCTTCTCTTCCAGCAGCAGAAAAAAAAAACTTCTGAATAATTTATATTTTCCTTTGGTTGTAAAGAATCAGTCATGAATATTTTTGTTATTTAAACTTACTGGCAAGTCCCTGCATATTCAGAACACAAATAAAACACCATCAGATGTTGCAGGTGCTCTGGCTTATTATTATTTCTATTATTATCATTATCATTAATATGATTACTACTACTTTGAGAAACTATAATGCTCTGTAATCTTTTCTCACACCCTTATCTCATTTTTCACTGTGCAAGAAGGTGGGAGTGGTAGTGACAGGTAATGATCTCTGTTACCTCAGATTTGTGACGTATGGAAGCATTTTCCTTTACTGTCTTGAACTAATTTTTTTTAAATGGAGACCTGCTGCTTATAGCAGAAAAAGCAGTTTGTGCGATACCAGATGAGAATGACTACCTTCCAGCAGAGCTGCCCTTTCTTATTATCATTTTGTGTTTCTGACGGCAACTTGCATCTTGTTATTCCAAAGTGTCTGTAAATGTGTTCAGAATAAGTACTTCCAAGATCTGAAAATAGAATGTTAAACCACTAATTAAGTGACTGGTATATATGGGGATGAATTTGGTCAATGACAGCTTTGTCATGTAAACCACAGAGTAACATAATTTTTGATTTTTGTCATCTTTAAAGAAAACAGCTATGGGGAACGCTGTGACTTTTTTAACCAGTATCACTTAGAAGACTGAACAGAAGGGAGAAAGAAAGGTGTTTTTCTATAATGTCCTTTATATAATTGAACCACAAAGTACTGCAGGTTGATCATAGTATTCATTTTAGAATGCTCACAATTTTGCTTGCCAGAAAGTGCCTCTTCAGTATTATCATGTACTGTTGTTTAGAGACTGCATAAAATATGCACATAAACACATACAGTGATCACTACTCTAATAATTTAATTTTCAGCTAGTTCTCACATCTCTGTGATGTGAATTCTGTGAAGAAATGTGGCTACAGAAATACATCTCTTACTCCATTTACTCCTTTCTCTTCTCGTGCCATTTTATTTTATTTTATTTTATTTTATTTTATTTTATTTTATTTTATTTTATCTTTCTATTTGTTTTACAGTTTTACGATGGTACATATACAGCATTATCAAGAAAAATCATATATTAACCACACAATATCTGTCCATTCATCTAGCTCATCTCCTTTCTTTTATATTTGTCCTCTGCTTTTTGGACAGCAAGAGTCAACTGCTCACTGAAGCATGGCAGAGTGGGCATTGAATTCTCAGGGATACCACCTGCATGTTCAGAAGCAGGTACTGGAACAGGGCTGCATTTATTGCTAGCAGCTACATTGCTTGACTTATATTTCCTCCAGAATCATTATTAACTCAACCTCCAAGCTAGCCTAAGCCACGATTTCTTATTCTTTAACTCCTAGCATTTATTTTCAAGCATTTTATGTCCCATTTGTTTTACTGCTTTAAGAAAAGATTACTAAGGGTCTGAGGGCTTTTGTGTTTTGTTTTTCATTTTAAACTTTTGAATTTGTATCCCCATCACTGCAGTAAAATCAGCAACACAGAGCTTGCAACTATTTCCATCAGCTGAAACTATCCATTTTCCATTGCGGAGTATGTATTGTGTTGCAGCAAGACCATAAGACTTCAATCTGGTGTGTGACATTTGTGAGCACATCAGTGCAAATGTCACAGTAGTGCACTGGACTACTACTGGACACACCAACTCTGAACTATTTATAGGTTTATAATAGTCATGGATAATGGCAGCACGTATGGACCACATGTGTTTTTATTTATCAGTATGGAAAGGTCATGACCTCCCTCTAATGTCTGATTGCCTGAAGGAACAAAATACAAATTAGCATGTGTCCGGTTTGCTGTTCTTCATAATACCCTCAGATGTTGCACCTTGTACCAGTCTTTGACTCTTGACATTAAACAACCATGAACAGCATTGACTTGTCTGAACTCAGTATGTTCAGTCATGTCGGACTAGAAATTTGCATGCATGAAACTTAAAACCCACTTATCTTGGCACATATATTAATAAGAAACAAAATGGTTGCAAGTTCTTCCTCTGTCTATGACAGTCCAATACACTGAATGTCACTTTAATGTTTTTTCAAGAACTAGGACTTCGCAAAATGGATATCTGAAACACTTGAGTATCTTTAGATCTTGAGAAGAGGAATTTGAATAACAAAACTTCTGGCATTTTGTGGGACAGGCAAGAAAATTGGAAGAACAGCATTAAAAAGATGATATCAAGGAAAGATCTGGCAACTGTACTACTGAGAGTCATGTTGTCATGGGATGCACGATAAAGAGCAATGTTGATGCAAACTTCTCTAGTACTAAAGACTCATCAGGAGAGGTATCTTCAAAGACTACAGCAGAGGCTGCAGTTGGAATATAAAGAAACCCACTGAAATAACAGTCAAGTCTCAAAAATCCCTTAAGTGACAAAATGTAACCTAAATGCAGAGAACCTCTGGAGATCAACTCTTGCGTTCAACTTTGCAGATCAACTTTGGCATTGACATTGACAACCAAAAAACACTACTCAAGCAGTACTCTCCATCATTTCAGCTGTTTCTCTCTGTTGTGGCCTATTGGCATACAGGTAGAATTAAAGAGTATCTACCACTGGAAGAGCCCAACCAGCATCTGTCACTAGAGTTCCTATTATTACCACCTTAAAAAAAATGGGTCATGCTGCACTTCGAGATCACCAGGGCTCTTCTCCATCTCCCACACAGGACTCTGCACTTTCTTAGTTATTGCATCCAGCTCTTCAAGGATCAAGAGGGGTTTCACCCCTATCTGTTAATTATTTTGAAGTGAAAAGTCTCTTTTTTCAGCTGTTAGAGCTCATCAAGCCACTATATAAGCCCTGTCTTTATCCCGTTTCCACAAATATGGTGCAGATCTTTAAGAAAAACCATCTGAGATCTATAAAGCAGCGTCATGGAGCAGTGCATCAAACTGACAAAAATTACACCCTCAGCATGGAACCCATGGCAGATGTGAAGATCCGAAATTATATATTCCAGTTAGCTTTGGCTGAAGGCCATGCCATTGCTTTCTCCAGAAAGGATGCAGTGGTGGGGGGAAAGGTAGAGGAAGTTTTACATGCAGAGGTCTATGCTTGCATATTGCCAAAGGAAGAAAGAGTGCTTACATCTTCAGTAATATGGTTCTTCCTAGTGATATGACTAGCATGGATCTCATATCCAGCTTTCAGCTCTGATGCTCAGTGCTTGCCATCACAAGTTTTGAGCTGCAAAGGTTCTAAAAGCCATTCTTGGTGCCTCCAGGTTTTATACAGTTGCACACAGACCTGAGAGGAGTTGCGGGCCATGTTTCAGTTCCACTGATGATGCTGATTTATAACTACTTAATTTTTACTTTCAGGCCTGTTCTTTTATATTAAGAGTCCTCATAACACCATTCAATCATTGGTTAGAGTGTCTGGAAAGTTAATAATGAATGAAAAGTGTGCAGCAGCCACGTAAAATGCTACCTTCATAGTCTTTCAAATATGAGAAGTAACTACAGTCTTTCAAGTCTTATCAGCAGACTAAGTTTCAGCTACATTGCCAAATCAGAGGAATCAGTGGAGTCAGCTTTGCAAGGAAAATCCTTTGGTTTTCATTTAGGGTTTTTTGGGACAGGGTTGGAAATAAATTTTTGCAAGACTGTATATTATCATCCTCTTTAGAAATACTTCCAGTTTCAAAACTCCTAGCTTAGTTTTGTCTGTGCATTTGAGTAGTAGGACATCTGAGAAGAAAGTGACAACAATGACAGCAGTTGTGGATTTTAGACTATCTTGGCCAGACCTCTTCAGTATAACTACATACTACTTATTGCATGACTTGTCACTGATATGTAGTCACTTTATGCTTGATTAATTTCATGATAAAACTGCAGGATTAATAATCCACATTGCCCTACTGAAGTGAAAGAACTGAAATGTTTCTTAATCTCAATATTTACAACTGCTGTTTGTTGTATGTGTTACATAAGCCAAACTATAACCTGAAATTTATTATTGAATGCTAGCTTTATATGAAATTATTTTGTTGATGCATATAAGAAGTGCACAAGATTGTTATGAACATGACGTGGAGCCTGTTACCATTAATAAATGAATACCAAAGAGATGTATGTACACCAAAGCAAAGATGATGACCATTCAGTGGGAGGAAAAGTCAGCAGATGCTTTTAAAGATTTTGGTGTGTGGGAAACAGGCTTAGTATGATGTATTTAATGAAGAATTCGGTTTGAGACCAAAGAGGTATGTTTGGTAAACCTGCTTTTTCCTTCCTTTTCTCTCTCTGCAGCTCAGAACACTGGAATCTCAACTTTTTACAGGAATTCGTATGGTGCACCTGCTGAAGATACCAAACATAACCAGGTAAGTACAGAGACTAAAATGTTAGTGTTCCAGATGGCAAAAGACTGGTGCAACATCTTATATGGAAATGAAAGAAAAATACCAGAAATTTTAAAAAATCACAAATAAACAGATTGCTTCCTGTAACATTTTACTATGTCCAAATAAACACCTGTGTTTGAATATGGGAAATGAAATGAGGTCCTGAAGGTCAGTTACACCTTGATAGCAGTTCTAGAAATAGAAACTAGAGTAGTTATGTTCCTTTTTGCAGTTGTAATATCGGGCCCAAACTTGTAAGCTCACTTGTGGGACTGCTAAAAGTAGTGAACTTAAGCAGCCTTTTTCAATCCCTGCATAGTGTTCCATACAGATATTTATTTTGAACAAATATCACATAGTTTGGGCCATAGCAGTGTGACTGTTCCTGCCATCTTGAGGGAAAACATTACTAACATGCTGAGCAGCAGGATCCACAAAGTGTTACCACATCGGTGTCTGAGCATCAGTATTCCCAGTGATAACCATGTGAGGAATGACAGGCTACATCATTTTGCAGTCACTAAGTCTGCCCAAAATTACAGAGGTGGCATGAATTGGGAGATAGTCTTCTAGGATAGTCAGCATGTGTTTATACATTTCAGATTTCAATAATGTACCAATTCTAAAATCAGAGATTCACTAGGGATGTCTAAAAAAAAAAAGTATGGCAGCCTTAGGTTAGAGGACTACCTGAAAATTTTTTTCTGCTTATCATAAAGTTTCCAGCATCAAGGTAACTAGCTGGAATGTACCAACAACACAACATTGTCAATATGAAATGTTGAGGAGGTGTTAAGAAGATGCTTCTGCTTAACAATAGCAGAAGAACCCATTTTAGGGCGCTTTTCTCATGTCAGTGCCCTGAAGACTGTAAATGGTTTTTAAGGATATGGTGTTACTTCTTCCCCTAAATCTCACTTCAGTCAAAAGCAGCTGCAAAATGTTTAGCATCTTTGGAATGTAAATTGATTACATTCAAATTCTTTAAGGCTGAGTTTTGGTCACCAATATTTGCATTATAAAGCTGCAAGTTACACACAGATTGTAGTTATGAAAGTGAAGTGTAAGCTATGCTGTATGAACTACTTTTGACATAAACCAGCATCTTTTGCAGCAGTAATATTAAATAATAAATATATTTGATAATAATAATACTATTAAATAAATGTAAAGAAATAAAATTACAAGGCAGAGCTGTGGAATTAATTCAGTGTTAAAGCAGTACTTTGAGCAGAAGTTAAGGTAATGCACAATTTTGTATTTTTAGCACAAGAAACATAAGTGAGATTTGCTCCTTCCATCCTGTTGCCTACAATAAGTTGTATCTAACAAGCTATGGGTATTGTTATATTTCAGGTTTCAGCACAGCCAGTTCCACAGGAGCCCAGCAGAAAAGATTATGAACCATATCAGCCATTTCAGAATTCAACAAGAAACTATGACGAGTCCTTCTTTGAGGACCAAGTGCATCATCGTCCACCTGCAAGTGAATACAACATGCACCTGGGACTAAAGTCAACTGGCAACTACGTCGACTTCTACTCAGCTGCTCGTCCCTATAGTGAACTTAACTATGAAACAAGCCACTATCCAGCCTCTCCCGACTCCTGGGTTTGAGACTTGAGCAGATACAAAAGCTCCAGGAACTGTGCATGTGCATGCATACCACGAGACATTTTTTTCCTGCAAATTTAGTTTGTTAAAGTCTGTTCCATAGGAAGACACAGATAACCAGTACGGAAAAAATTAGGAGATTTTTTTAGGAGGCTAAAAGATATGAAAGCTAAACCTGGGATTAATTAGAAAGAAATATATATATACATATATATATTTTACAGTGTGAGGCCTGTAGAGTCTAAAGTTTAGTGCTGTATAATGAATGTGGCTGAAGGAAGGAGGAAGAACATGACAGTGGATCTGAGTCAAGAGTTAAGCACAAGTTACTGAGCAGCGTACATACTTTATGGGGAACAGCTTCTCACACTTTGTTTAATATCCTCATTCATCGTGAATCTAGGCTTCAAGTTGCATTTGGGGTTTCCTCTGTACAGCAAGATGTTTCTTGCCTTTTGTTAATGCATTGTTGTAAAGTATTTGATGTACATTACAGATAAAAAAGGTGCATTGTGTATATTACACCAATGCCAAAGTGTTTCTTCATATATGGTTCTAAATATTGCTTCAATTTCAAATTTTGAAAGATGTATGAATTTCCAGTTTTTTGTTTTCTTTTCCCCGGTGCATTTTAACATAAAAAAAAAAATCAAAAAAAAAAATCAAAAAAAAAGGAATATTTAGCAGTATTGTTTGTTCTGATATGTGAATTTGTTTGTGGCAACTAAAACAAAAGGCATTCAGCAGTTTCTGACAATTAACATTCATCATTCCACACTCCTTGTAAACGAAGTGCTTTTTCACTGCCTAAAATTTTAGATGTAGATATTTGAAATAGATTTTTTTCATTTATACCAGTTTTCTTTATGATGATACAGTGTTAAAAGAAAATAAATTACAATTGATCTGTCATCCATATTTGCTAAGAATGTCTATTTCCAAGAACCTACCATACAAATACACATTCTTACTCGTGTGTGTCCACGTATGCATAGTATTCCGTGTGCGTGTGTTTGAGTGTGTGTGTTTGTGTGCCGTAAGACTTCTTTTCATCCAATGTTCTCCTTGTTAAGCTTCAATTTTTGTTTGATTTTCTGTTCTTCTAAACAGTGGAAACTCCAGTATGTGCTTTCTCTTACTCACTTCCGTAACCATCAATAGCAATTCAACATTGCTAGGCCACATGCTCACAAAAGAAGGGGTAGCTGATTTTTTTATCACCAACTCCATCACCCTTAAGTGCCATTTTCTTTAAAACAGCGTCTTTTGATCTCCTCTTGTGGAAATTTCATTACTCTCCAGCCACCAACCAGTAAGTGCTCAAGGAAGGCAGAGTTTGATCTTGCCATCTCCCTGAGGTACTAAAAAACTAAGACCCATCAGACTTTAATCTGGACTCTCCATACTCTGTAGACTGCAGAAGGGTCCAATTCTTGAACCATTAGGACAATCATTTATTTTAACCCATACCAAAAATAAAACTCAACATCCAGAACACATTCCTCAAATATGAAAATGAAGACCATTTCTGTGCATTTAAAGTGAAATTCTAAAAATTTCAAGGGACAGAGAATTTTGTTGTTTGTTGGGGTTTTTTTTAATTTTAAAAGAACAGCTACGTAGGCTAGGAGGCCAGAAGAGCTGGCGCCGGAAGAGCTGGCGTATTCATCTTAGCTTTTTATCATGCTGGAAGGAAAAGAAAGAAGCATTTCCTCATTTCTGTGATTGAGGCAACAAACAGTTCAGCATACAGTTTTCAGAGCATAAGACCCACCACTAATGGAGTAGTTGTAAATTGCTTAAATTGCCAATAAGGAATTTGTTTTAGGTTGCAAACATTTCTGTGCTTAGTCACTGTAATAGTTTTAATATCACCTGGCGCACCTCTGGCTGTGCACAGGGGGAGAAGTCTCTCACAAGTCATCACCTGCTCTATAGGATGCAGCCCAAATAGTTCATGCAGGCAGGTTTTGTGATGTAGAATTGGTTTATTGGCAATCTAGGACTATAGTTTAATCTTTTTGGCAGTTTTTCCCAGTGTATGATATGTAACCTTTGCTCTTTGTAGTAAATGGGGAAAAAAATAGCATGCAAAAAAATTTTTAAAAAATTTCAGAAAGGGTGGGTGGGAGGGGCACAGTGGGCCAGATGTATAGTGAGGTAGATAAAAATACTATTCATAGTTTTGGACACAGGTTGTTTATATTTTATTTATTACATTGATTTTAATAAGTGACATTTGCAGTGCTCTTTTGAACAAAGCACATTTTCAGTATAAAAACTTTTTTTTAATAAAGAATGTCACTCACAACTGGAAGTTCTTCTTGACTGCCTGACAAACAGCAGGCTGGTGCAGCTCTCCAGGTGCAGGTTTGCCAACAGGCTGAGGGGAATGCATCGTTTTGTTCAAAGTTCTTAGAATGGGAGATTACTGTAAGTTGGATGTATTTCCATTCTTCAAACTACTGAAATGCCCACTCCTTCAGCTCATCTTAGGAATTACTTGGAGTCAAATGTTGACCATTGCTCAAGTGAGAGATTCTAGATTGATGACATGGCAGAAAATACCTTTTGTCTATACTTTGTGTCAGTTTGTTTCCATTTTTCTGTAGCGGCGGGTTCTCCGACTGATAACATTCACTCTTGCTGTACTGGGTTTTGAGAAGGTGTTGAATTACCTGGCTTCTTTTCCAGGTTTGGAAATATAACACTGCTGCCATACTGAGCAAGATATGTATGATGCATTCTTTTTAATACTGAGGAAAGTATCATTGCCTATTGCTGTTCCCTTCATTCTTGTACTAGATCACACACAGAAATAGAGAAGAAACAAAACTGTTCAAAAAAATGTATAAAATGCAATTGATGTACTGTAAAATGTTGGATTTTTTTTTTTTTTTACAAGCTTCGTATTAGAATCTTGTTCAGCTGTGTAGAGCTATATAAATCTCACTGTTTAATTAAATGCTGTTTATGGTCTGGAAGGAATGGTTAACCTATCTCAAGATTTAACAAATTTGCACTAACATGAGCAATATTGATTTGAAAAAAATTAATATGAATTCAATATTTAAAATATAAACTATGATTTTAAAGGTATATTAACACTGAAAGTACATTTTGACAAATAACATATTTAAGCCCAAAATATAAATGGTTATGTCAGATAACACAAAAGAACTATAACAATATAGATTGAGAAAAAAAAAAGTGTTTCACTGTACATGTTGCTAACATGTACAAACTCATATTGACGTATTTTCTATTAATAAATCCTACTGTATTGTGGAGAATCGCTGGTCATAGTGCAGTATGTTTAAATGCAGAAGTTGACTCTGTAGAAGCTGCCTAGCTTCACACAGCAAACAGATCCTTACAATTTAGGTATTTCAATCGGATACCTAACTTACAGTTCTCAGGTCAGTCACTACCCCACAAGGTTAATGAGCACAACCTGCTCTACATCAACCAGCCAAAGGGAAAGATATTTTTGAGAACACACAGTTCACCTCTAATAATGTCTGCAAGGGCTCAGGTGCCACCACTAGTAGAGTGTGTTTATCTACACCCCGAGAAAAAAACTGAAAACCTCAAGGCTGGTGCCACTGGATGGGAACATGCTGTAAAATATATTATCTTGGCCACAGGTTACATCGAGCAAAGCCAAGAAACAAAGAGCAAAACATTAATTTACTTGTGCACTGCTGGAAGACCCAGCACACAATGCATGTAAAGGCTCAGGAATAATTGTTTCCCAGGTTCCATGAGCTTGCAGAAGTGTCTCGCCAGGAGACTTGCAACTCAAATCAGAAATGCTGACTTCTTTTTATACCTTGGCACAGCACAGGATGTGCATGCCAGTGCATGGCAAAGGAGGCTTTCTCATCTCCTCTGTTGCTGTTATTCATCCTCTCCTGCCAGCAGACAGAAAGAGCCATCAGTTTAGTTACTGCTTGTATCATGAGTGGGAGAGATGGAGACAGCAATCCTGAATCAGGGGGAGCAAACAGAAGGGCCTAAAAATATACTCAGAGTTTGTGCGTGAATACAGATCCATACCCATAATTAGAGTGAAATTGACCCAACAAGAGATTTTATGCAGCAGTATCTTCAAATATTACCATCAAGTTAATGTAATGAACATTTAATAGTAACGGTGTGATGCATGCAAAGCTTTATGCTAGAAAAGTGGGAGGGAGCAGCAGAGAGAAGTCACTGGTCACCACTGGGCACTTCTAGCTTCAACCAGCAGGTGTTGGGCATGTGGGCAGAGACTGCTTCTTACTGCTGTGAAAGAGAGGGGAGAGGGATGACTCCTGAGAAAAAACTTTAGGTCCAAGCCTTTCAGACTCGGTCAAAACAACATCAGCTTAAACAGGGACCATTTCCCCCAAACTTGCCCCTTGCCCTACTGTCCTCAATGGCAGAGTGAGGTGCCCCCTAGCAGACACATGGACATGGTGCATATGATGGGAAATCCTGTCAAGGGCCCAGCTTGCAAAGGCCCTTTTCTCTCAGCTGGAAAATACCTGGTAAAGGTGTGTGTCTGACAGCTGCCAGGGTCAGGGCTGAGCTTGTCAAGCAGCTGCAGCCACTTTCAGTTTGAAGTCCAGCATTTTCCCTGGAGGACAGATGGGCACCAACATCTGCCAAAGAACTGTGCAGTCCTGGCTCTTTCCCAGGGACTGGACAGTTTCTAAATAGCAGCCTAAAGCCAGTTTCAGACATTTAGGCTGAAAGAGGGAGATTTGAGTTTCATCCCCAGACAAGGGGGCTGAAGCCTGTAAGGAGAGGGACGTCCCCACCTTCCAGGCTGTTCCAAAATGCAAGTGAGAAGAGCTGTACTGGCTATCACACACCTTTGGATGACCTTTTGGTGACCTGTGTTAGGAGCACTTCCTTCTAACTCATCCTCTACTCTTCTGAGGGACAAACAAAACAGCTCCATGACATGAACATTTCTACTTCTTCCCAGTGCTTCCACTTGGTTTTGCACAATCTCAACTGGGACACATCAGTCAAAAGAGCAGCACACCACAGTCCTCTGCAAGTTCAGCAAGGCACGTGCATGGTGCTAGTCAGGTGAAGTGCTCTCGCGGGATATTATGCCAATTCATTATTCTTAAACCTAATTCTCAATCAGACTCGCTTTAGTATTTTTAATGCATTATTAAAAGGAGTTTCCTTCCTCTGTGAGCATTGGTACTGCTTTACCACAAAAAATGCATACTAAACTCTTCCAACCTGTCAGTGTTTAGCTTACACCAAATTTCAAAGCCCATGGAAGACCCTGGAAAAATTTCCACCAGCTTCACCGGGCCCAAGTGAAGAATAGGTACAACCTTCTCAAAGGATGTGCACATCAAGGTCACTCCTGCCAGCATATCAAAGGCTGCAATTTCTAATAGCTAACAGGAGGAAAATTATTTGCTAGTACCTGTGTGTCAAAATTTACTCCAAGAGCCTTTGCTTCTCTGCACTTTTACTTTCACTACTTTCAGAAGTGTGACATAGATAAAAAGTACTCACAGTGACTAATAGCTGCAGTTAATTTCATAGTTGGATGAGTAGTTTCAGACACTGAAATACCTTTCTTTTCCATGCAGATAAAATCTGAAACTTGCCACCTAACCTAGG